CCGCCCCCCCCCCCCCCCGGCAGCATCCCGGATTATCAGCCGGTGCCAGCAGCCCGGCTGAGATTAGGCGAGTTTGCTCCTCCCTCTCCGGGTAATGCCCCGGCGCGGTGGGCCCGGCGCCGGGGCACCTGCCGGAGCCGGCTCCGCGCTGCCCTCGCCGGGGAGTGGGGAGGCGGATGGTGGCGGCTCCACGCCAGCGCCGCTGCCAGGGCCGGGCCGGGCTCACACCGCCCGGGGTGGCCACACACAGGCCTGCTGAGCCAGGGCTGCCTTGCCGTGAAGTCACCTTGGGTGTCTCCTGACGAGAAAGCCAAACTGGATCAACTGCCTGTGGGTAACCGACAGCTGACTGTACTGCCAGAGGCTGTTTGTATTCTTCTGTGGGTAGCACCCTTATCTCAGGGGGATAGTCCTGGCTTGTCATCCCTGCTTCCAGATTGCTGTACATTTTGCAACGTGAAGTTACTGAATCAAGAACAGACCTAGCACCAGTACCTTCCTCTGCAAGTTCAGATTTACCACCTCCCTGTAAGCATCCTGGCCAACAGGTGATAGACACCTTGCAGCGTCTTTGTAGCCCAGGAGCTATTATTTTCTGCAATTTATTCACTGCTGAAAGCTAGGATACTTTCTCAAGAGGCAGAGGGTGTGGCCTTGAATGTCTTTGGAGGGAGGAGAGGAAGGAATGTAGGTCTTGCACTCTTCGTGTAAAATACAAAAGGCATCACTGCATTTACACTCTGCAGACAGTGGTGGCTGTAATTGCACCTTGTGAGAGGCCTGTCAATATGTCATAGCTATGATGTGAGAAAGCCTTCTGGACTGAGCCCTTTGGGAGACTTTGGTGGAGGAAATTCAAGAGTTAAGCTCAGCTCAGTTCAGCCATGGATTAGGATGCCACGGTGCTCACGTCTAGCAGCCAGGGCTAGGCATGTGCCAGATTGCAACTTCAAAGCAGAAATTAAGTGCTGCAACTGCAGAGCACCTCCCATGTGTAGGTAGCAACTGAATGTTGTTTGTTTGTTTTTAGATCGCAATCTTAAACCAGTCACTTTTCCTTTTTACAATCGCAATTTAGGCAATTAAATTTACTCCAAGTCACACTTTAGAAGCCAGTCCTTTATTGGATCTCACCCTCGCTGACTACTTAGGAAACTCTCTGCTTTTGATCCTACTGATGCACCATAAATGAGATTCTGCAGATTCTGCTCAGTCAGTATAAAAGAACATTCGAGGATAAAGAAGTTTGACTTTCACTCCTTGCCATATGGAAAACATACGCAGCTCATCTCTGTTTAGTTGGATTCCAAGGCGTGGCTCATCAGATAACTCACTGATTATTCTGGACGACAGCAAAAGGGTGGGCGGGGGGGTCACCGTGACAATAACTTCCAATTCTGGTCAGAAAAGCTGGACTGAGGAGGACTGTTTTTTTCTCTGCAGTCTCAAGCTTAAGGCTCAGTCCTGGAATCTCAGCTGAGTCTGGAGAAGCAGTGGATGGGAAGTACTTTGTTATTTCCACCTCCCAAGGAAACTGTAATCTTTGCTTTGTGGATTCAGCCCTCACCCAAGTATCCTGTACACCCCAGGGGAGTGCTGTGCTGTGATGCGACAACATTTTCTAACTACACCAGCTGCAGAGCCGGACACCCACTGACTTGGTGGCACTTTCTGCTCCATCTGGTTGCTTATAAAGTCTTGGTTCAGATCGGCACTTTCTGGTTTGATGGATTCATCTTTGTTGCCTGACTACCCTCTTATTCGTATCTTCATCCTTCAGATCAAAAAGACTCAAGCAAACCACTCAGACAGTGCACGCAGGGGCTGAGGCAGGGTGAATCTTTTTTGCTGAAGAGTTTTGAGGGCTGCTGTCTCCCGATGATGAATTTTCAGTCATTCGCAAAGCTCATTTCTCTCACAGTCCTTTTTTTTTGCGTGTGTGTAAGCACTATTTTGCATGGTAGTGGTTTTCTAATTCACAAGTCCGTACTTTGGATACAGGATGTAGAAGATGAACTTAGATTAAAAATTGCATGTTTGCAATTGTGTACAGAGTGATGGAAGAGTATTTCTTGAGTAAGTTGAAATAAATATGCAGGTGGATTAATCTGTCAGTTAAAAAATCATCTGTAGAATTTTTGAAGTGTTCAGAACTTGAAGGGGATAATTTTATATTAGTTTAAGCTTTTGTGCTTGTTTTCCTGTTTATTGGTTATTTCTGTTTGTAAAAACTCAATGCTGAGTTTTGGGACATCTGCGAGTCCTCCAGAAGGCAAAATAGATTTAACTTTAGCTCCCTGAGGAAGAATAACCCTTCAAATAAGCTTTTTTCCCTCTTCATCAGTGGATAATTTAAAACATCCTCTTTCTTTGTGGCTCTTGAGCTTTGATTCTCAAGTGTACTTAAGGGCCTAATTAAATGGGAATTAGGTATTTGAATTCTTGTGTGGCCCTAAGCCTTAGGGTTTAACTGACTTTGTGACACTCTGTGCCTCTTGCCTTGCAGGTGTGGGTATGGCCATGAGAAAAATGGGAAGCATGGCCAAACCAGATGTTTACATTATTAAGGATGGGGACACAATCACCGTAAAAACAGAAAGCACCTTCAAAACTTCACAGTTCAGCTTCAAGCTTGGTGAGAAATTTGAGGAAAATACCTTAGATGGCAGGAAAACTCAGGTGAGTATACCAGTCTTTCTACTGAAAAAACACAATTCTTTGGGTGTTTTACAGATGGAGACGCTATTTAAAAATCAGTTTTGACATCCATACTAACAATGCTTTATTTGATGAACAGCTGTCGCTGTAAGTCTCATTGAAATAAATTTTTTTTTCCTGGATTAAGCAACTTCCAAAGAGGGAAAAATGCTGAAACCAATAATGTCTTGTGTATTTTGTTGTTTTCAATTTGTAGCAGAAGCATTGTGTTAATAAAACTAACAGACCTCTAAATCCATGTTAAAGCCAAATGCCACTTCATTTGAAGCCTGTGGAAAAAAATCCCATTGATGTTTAATCAGAGGCAATTCAGCCCTAGGGTTAACCTTTCTGCTCAGTCTCATATTTGCGTAACAAGAGAGCCTGGTTCAGTGTGCAGTGGGATAACAGACACACAAGGCATACATGTGAATCACAGTCCCTAATCTCCAGTTTCAGAAGGCAAAGAGCCTCGCCCTGCACCAAGTAGGGAGAATATTCATCCAAAAGGAGGTTAAACACAAAGAAGCCCTCAAATATGTCTCTCTCATTTCTTTGTGTGAGTGCTCTCTGTGTACCCCCTCCCCCCCCTCCAGCCACACGCTTGCAATTCATCTATTATTGCAAGATCAGATAAACGTTACACAAAAGCTCAAAGCCCACGTACAAAGAGATTAACAGAGAACATCGTCTGCTCTTGTTAACTGAAATTGTGCACGCTGTCAAAGGTCTGCCTGATGCAGGAATGTGTCAGAGCAGTGAGTGAACAAGCAGCGAGCTACTGTAAGAAGAGGATCAATAAAACGTTTAAGATAATATCCTGGCTTTGTAGACATCAGTGGCAAAATTACTGTTGAGTGAGCTGGGGTGGGAATTTTTTGTTTGGAATAAGGTGTTGGAAAGCCTCAGTTTCCACCAAACGTCATGGGTAAAATATTGATGTTCGGGTTCTTCTTTCAGACCCTTGTCAGCTTAAAAGATGATGGGTCATTGATTCAGGAGCAGGAATGGGATGGCAAGAAGACCATAATAACACGGAAACTAGTGGATGGACAATTGGTGGTGGTGAGTTCAGTCTCGCTTTCTGATCCCTGAGTGCTGCTGGCCGGTAGCCTGAAAAGTAAAAGATCTTTTTCCTTATAGTCTGTACTGAGGCAAATTAATAAATCCATCTCTTTATCTTCTAGGAATGTGACATGAATGGTATCAAGTGTATTAGAGTCTACCAGAAAGCATGAGGGCACCTTCACGTTCAGTAGGAACTTGCTACAAACAACTCAGTTCAGTGGACAGAGCTCCTTTACACTCCGTATTTTCCTTTTCCCTGTTTTCTAGTATTTCAATGGACTGAGTAGCTGAGTGCAATCCTTTTTAAAAGCCGTGGTGTAACTATTATGTAACTATTCTGAACTTATGAGGCTATTAAATAAAATTGTCAAATATATGAAGTGGAAATGTTGTTACTATAGTGGAATTTTAAAGTGAGGTTTTATAAAAACTCAGTTTGGTTTTAGGCTCTACTACAAACTGCCTTCAGTTCAAGATAATGCAATATATGGCAACGAACAGTTAATAGCAAGCTGAATTTTGACCAGCATCCTTAATTGCTAAGGTAGAAAAATCTGAAATAGAAAAATCATTCAGAGTTCAGGCTCTAGAGTTGTTTCTAACTTGCATGTTACAAAGTAAATAGAATTGGTGGGTATAAAAAAGAGATAAGCTTTGTTGGTGTTTAAGTAGAGGAATGTATTTTGAGGGGTTAGTTCATTTTTTCATGTTTCAAACCCACAAACTTAGCTGAAAAAATATATGCTGGTGAGCCAACGGACATGATAAACTTAAGCAAACACATACATGCTTTACTGAAAGGAAGCCTTATTTTGAGAAGACTCTTTGTTTTCCTAGAAAAATTCTTATTTCCTGTCTAGTAACATTCTAAAAATTCTTAACCAAAATCTACTGAAATACTGCCTAAAACTTAAAACCTCATTTTATTTTTTTTTTTAAACTAGCTTGAAACACCTAGCAATGGAGTTTATATGCTTTAAAGTGCCATAATAAATAATCAGAAACATCAGTGTCTTGAGTATTACTGTTACACTGGTTGGGAAACTAAGCCTATGATGCTACTATTCTTCCAAAGAGATGTCGGATCAGACAAAATTAAAAAGGTTTAGGTGAATTTCTGTCACACCAGTCAAACATGTCCTAAAAGTGAAACTGTTTGGTGACGGGTGATGGGGAGATTTCTATCAGATTCAGAAGCCTGGGGGATCATGCAATTGCACGCTTCCAGTTTGCAGCATCAGTCGTTGCAGAATCCATTGCTACTTCAACCCTACTGATATTTTAGCTGCTCAGTGCATGTATCATATTACTGAGCTTACCCTAATAGCAGAAAAGTCTGTTCTTTTATGTTCATCGTACCAACCATGGAAAATTACTTTTCCCATAATTTTGGACCATTTACCCTTTTCATAATTTCCTGACTCTTTATGAATCATCCCCTTTACCTATGTCATCTGAAAGAATTTATAGCTGGAGCATATTTCTTGCAATTTTATTTTTTCATGATCTGCTTAAAAGTAAATATTTTTCCTGGTCCCCTAATGTCTCCTTCTTGAGTTGGCCAATCTTCATATCGCCTTCATTTAGTATTTTTCCTGACTTTAACATGAACCCTGAAGATCTGTGCCGTATTCTTATATGGGACATTAGAAACAGGTTTTTTTGGTTTTAGGGGAAGGAATCTCCCCATAGAAACAACAGAAACAGAAAACAAACCGATCTGATGAGGAACCTGGTAAGTTTATGATCAGAAATATACTAAATAGTAGCAGGAGAATGGGTGCAGCAATCCATGGCATGATATACAAATCCTGCCTCCCTTCCAAAAGAAACAACACTACTGCTTTAAGCGGGACATTATGCTGCCTTTGGGGTCACTGGTCTATCACTTACCACTGCTTGTTTACTCTTCTGAGACTGGGTAGTGTTAATTGTTTATCTTCATTTGAATGGAAAAAGCTTCCAATGTCTTTTATAGGACATCCGTTTTGATTACAATGAGATCACTTCTTGTAAAACAAAAGGCAGAAGAGTATCTTTTTAGAGCGATTTCCTTTGGAAACAAGGCTTATAAAGTCTGTTTGTGTGTGTGCGTGCTCTCTGATTTCAGCCGCATGTGAAGTAGAGGCTAGAGGTCCCAAGGATAATTATTCTTCCACAAACGTCATGAAAATAGGTGGCCTGATGAAGGAGATAGACCATTAAAGTGCCTTGATGATGGAAAGACTGCACATGGAAATGACACTTTGTTTGACATTAAATGGAAGAAAAACATTATAAGCCCTCTTGGCACACATAAGAAGTTATCTTAAACACAAAAGTTGACCAATGGTAAGACGCAGATCAACAGGAAACTGGAATTCTTTAGAGTTAATTCTCCAGAACTACTTAGGCTTACATATTTATTTGCTTTATTTTGATGTTCGCTTCAGCCTATGTTGCTGATAACTTCAATGTAAGTGTATTGTGACCTGGAACTACCATATATACAACCTGTTTGTATTAGATAAGACCATATACTTAAGACGACCATTGTTTTGTAGCACTGCAAGCCAAGATTTATAATGCTCAAGACTTGAAAATAGAATTCATTTCCAAAATCCTTCTATTTGTTATTATACAAGCCAAAAGTTTTACTCTTCATGAAGTGTGTATACACCACGTTCTCATCACTGTAAAATAACCAATTGTCCTGAGATTTGAATAACTCTCTGTAGTTCACTGTATCACATAAGATGGCAGAAAATAAGACTTCTGAGAACAACTGAAAAAGAAGAAATTACGCATTATCCATCCAGGACTGCTTTATAATGCTACAGAATTATGAAATAAGGAGACAAGTTCTGTTGTGACATTTTAGTGCATGTTTTTGAAAATATTTTGGAGGGATAAAAGAAACACGTTCAGCAAACTGAAGCTGCAAGTAAAACTTGCTCAATTAATCGGTGGTGAACTGGGGTAAAGGAGTAGAAAATGAAGTTGTTTAGCAATTTAGATCTGATATTCTACCACATTAGGGAAATCTCTTGTCTGAGCTCTCCAGGAACACTAATGAAACAGCACTGTGCTTTGGGGAGACTGTACTGGCTCTATACAATGCTCAGACTATCAAAGATTTTCCTGTTATGGTTTGCTTATATGATTTATTTCAAAATCCTAATCCTACTCTGCCTGCAATCTCTGCAATTAATACTGGCCTTTCCTCTCCCCTCCCTACCTCACACATGCACTTCAGATCAAAGTTTTTTAAAAACAAAGTTCCTGTTATGGTTTGCTTATATGATTTATTTCAAAATTGTTATCCTACTCTGCCTGCAATCTCTGCAATTAATACTGGCCTTTCCTCTTCCTCTCCCCTCCCTACCTCACACATGCACTTCAGATCAAAGTTTTTTAAAAAACAAAGTCAATGATGGGAAATCTCTCAGTTTTCTGAGGTTATGGTCCCACTGTCAGCTGTCAGCTCTCCTAAAAAAAGGCAATGATTATTTCTCCGAGTGTGAAGGTCAAGTGTAGGAAGATAGTTTTGCTCTGCCAGTGGCTACTTGAGCAATATTAACTGTGAGACTCAAACATCCAAAAAGAAAATGAATCATTGAATAAACACTATTTTTTTTTTCAGGTTAGAACCTAAAAATCTAGTATTGTTCATTCTAGTGAGTATAAACAATAATCAACCTTGTCTACTTTTATATAATATTATGTCCAATATATTCTGTTGTTCATAAAGCAGTCCATTCAAGGTAACTTTTATTAAAGTCAGATGCTGAAAATAAGTGCCCTGTAAGTATCTTTCAGGGTCCCAAGGGGCCTTGACCGCGGGGCTTCCCCTGACCCCTGCCCATGAGCCCAGGAACCCCATTTCAGCTCAGCCTGGGGCGTCAGTCCATGCCTGAGCTAGTTGTTAGAGGATCAGTCTCCAGCTCAAATACCTGCAGAATTTACACAAAAGTTCCTGCATTAAACTCACTTCTATGAAGGAACTGCCTTATAAAGGGCTTGTATTCTACTTAAAACTGTTCCACAAAAATAAAAGCAGTAATGCGGGCCAGCTCCAATCAAACCTTTGTTGGTGACTCCTTCCCTGCCTGACTATGTGCTAACACAATGAATGGATTAGAAATCCTTTGCACTATGTTGATTATTTGTGCTTGTAGGGGATAAAAATCCCACACAGTGTGATAGTGGGTGGGAGCAAGTTAACATACATTGATTATTCTTTGATGCCTCATTTCAGTCCCATTGTTCAGCCCTGGGAGGATTTAGCACTATTTTCATAGTTTTTGGAGAAAATCCAGCATCTGTGTAAACACATTTTTGTCCCATGGTTCTCCTTCTAGCTTTGGCTTTTCAGCCCTTTTACATCAAATTAAGATTTTGTTGACGCTTCCCAGAATGGTTTTACTTCATACTATTATTTCAGAGGAAAAGGAAACATTATTAGAAACCCCGCTCCCAAGAGTGAATTTGGCTTCCTTTCCAGCAAAAGTGTTTCCAAAATCAATTCCCTCTACCAGATGGTCGTAATTATATTCTGGAGATATTTACAGGTGAAGTCCATTATAGTTTTGGAAGAAATGTAAAGTTTCAGCAATAAGTGCAATCCAGAATCAGTTTCAGATAATGTCCTGCAAAAATCTACTGAATCCCAAATATTATAGTTGAGACTTTAAAATAAATAACACATTTGTCATTAATCACAGATGTACACTCTGAAATTAAACACCAGAAGACAAATATCCCACTCTGAGGACCATGCATACTACTTATCTAGGACTGGACATTTGCTCTCACATGCATAGCATCTGGTTCCTTTGAAAATTCGTGCTTGAAATCAATGAGTCTACCTTCAGAAAAGGCATTTGCTAAGGATGCAGCTCAGCTCATTGTGCAGTGCAAGTGTCCAACAGGAAATCAAGGGACTGAGTGCAATTTTCAGGCTGGGCTGGTGGTGCATTGCTGCTGCACACCCCAGGGGCGTTCTTGCTCTGTGGCTTGATGTCTTCTGGGGCCATGTGGTATAGTCCTGTATGGTGAACAGCAAATTTGAAATCATAAAGAATAGGGTAGCCTGCATCTCTTGACCTCAACAGCAACCTTGAACTGCGACCAGAGAGTCCATGACAGGGAGTTTCTGGAAACTCCGGGAGTACAAGGGCTCTTCGGGTACATGGAAAGCTGAGCTGAAGGCAACTCAGACTGACTCCTTGCTCTAGAAATTATGGCCAGGGCTTGTTATGCCTTTACAATTTAATTCTATAAGTAGCCCAGTGAAGTAGAGGAGTAGCAATTATTCCTATTCTATTGAGAGTACAATTAAGGCAAAATATCATCAATACTTTCCCTTTCCAAAATGTGTAAAGCAGTAATTGGTACTGGGATTTGCTTTCCGTGCTTTCTGTTGTCTCATCTCCACTCATTCTCCTAAACCACCTTGCATATAAATAAAGTTCAGAAAATGAGTTGTTTCTATTCTTTTACATTTATTTTTTTCTCTTGGTGAGATGCAGAATGAAAATGCAAGCTGCATACCTGTACTGGGGACATTGTTTGAATTATCATATTCCTTTTGCAAAATTCATGGAATATGGTTCCTCTGTTTAACCAGCTTAACCGATGGCTGCTTTTCTGAAACTGCAACAGAAGAGAGGAAGCCAATTGATTAAAACAGAAATCACAGATGTCTCAGTGCCTTAGCATCCTCAGTCCCCTTTCTCCTCGTCATGTATTTGCACAACACAATTCATGCTTATCTGAGCCTACGCGTTACCCCTCTGGATGTTCGCTTTCTTCATGAAGACTCTTCTTTTTTACTATCATGTTTAAGACTATCAGGTCTCTTGGATTCAGATTCTGAGCATCCAGCTGGCGTAATTACTGGAATAGGGATTAAGAAAGATAAGAATAAATATAGCTGCATCTTGTCCAGCCTCTCTCTCTCTCTCTCTTTTTTCTTCTTCTTTTTTTCACTCTTTGTTTTTCAGCACCAAGAGAATGAAGAAAACTAAG